GCCAAGAGTCTCACACACATGGATAACATGGAGTCAAAAGACCCCTCAAACAGTGGTATATTTATTTCTTTCAACAGTTGATAAAACTTTTGCGCTTCCTCGTTCGGGAGCTCATCTGCATCAAAATCTTGAGGTTCATCATAAGTCACATTCACCCCTAATGCATCACCAACCATATCATCTATGAGATTAAATTGTTCATGGTCTTGCAAATGTGATTGACTGCTTGATGTCTCTCTGCCTATCTCAACTCCAATACGTGTTTGACTGCTTGCAGCCTCTCTATTCATCTCTGGCAGTATTTCTCCATTAGAATACCACACCCAATAATTTGGCCTAAAACCATCTTTCTCTAAGTGTCGTTTCACTTCATTTGGGTCACTAATTATATTTCTGCAACCACACTTTAAACACGGGCATCTTACCCCTCCTTCGCTTCGACAACAGTCTTGAGCAAACGCATAAGTAAGAAACGCAACAACTCCTTCTTTAAAATGTGGTTTAAGCCCACGTCTTCCTGGATACGTTCTATCATACATCCAACTACGATAGAACTGGTAATATTCCATACTGCACATGTATAAGGTTGTTCATTTTTAAATTTATATTTAAGAAAAGGGGAATTGATCTACCTACAAACTTATGACTTTACCTACCTAATATATACCATATTATGTTTCTACGAATTTACATGCTTTATAACATTTTAACTTACAAATTATAAAATTATATGTTTCTACAAATATTATGTACGTAATATGTTATTAAAAATTATATTAATATTTTAGAAAATGTATATATTACAAACTATATACTTTATATAAAAAGTTTGTATATGTAACTTAAATATATTATAAATTATATTTTTTTATGATTTAACTCATACTTTTTAAATAAAAGTGTATATTGATATACATAATCTAGTTTCTATTATAAAAAAATATATAATATGTTTTCAAATTTAAATAAATAAATATTCTGTTTTAAAAAATAATATATAATATGTTTTAATATTCTGTTTTAAATATGTTTATAAATAAATAAATATTCTATTTTAAATAAATATTATGTTTTAAATAAACAATATATAATATAAATCTGTTTTATATTCTGTTTAATATTTAATATAACATAAATAAATAATATTCTGTTCTAATATAATATACTATAAATATTCTGTTTTAAATATTATGTTTTATATAATATAAATAATATATTCTATTTAATTATATAATCTATTTAATATTTAATAAATAAACATTCTGTTTTATATAAATAAATCATAAATAATATATAATATTCTGCTTTAAATAAATATACAGTTTTAATTAATAAATATTCTGTTTTAAATAAATATACAGTTTTAATTACTAAATATTCTGTTTTAAATAAATAAATATTCTATTTTAAATAAATAATATATAATACAAATCTGTTTTATAATATTTTGTTTATAATATGTTTATAAATATGTTTATAATATATGTTTTAAATGTGGTTATAATATAAATCTTAATATGTTTTATAATATATATATATATAATATTAATATTTTAATTAAAATTTATTTTATAATCTAAATATTAAAATCTGTTATGTAAAACTATACATAAATATGTTATTAGAAAATGTATTACAAATTATATTAATATTTTAGAAAATGTATATATTACAAATTATATACCTTATATAAAAAGTTTGTATATGTAACTTAAATATATTATAAATTATATATTTTTATGATTTAATTCATATTTTTTAAATAAAAGTGTATATTGATATGTATAATCTATTCTTTTATAAAAAAATATATAATATGTTTCCAAATTTAAATAAATAAATATTCTGTTTTAAAAAATAATATATAATATGTTTTAATATTCTGTTTTAAATATGTTTATAAATAAATAAATATTCTATTTTAAATAAATATTATATTTTAAATAAACAATATATAATATAAATCTGTTTTATATTCTGTTTAATATTTAATATAATATAAATAAATAATATTCTGTTCTAATATAATATAATATAAATTTTCTGTTTTAAATATTATGTTTTATATAATATAAATAATATATTCTGTTTAATTATATAATCTATTTAATATTTAATAAATAAACATTCTGTTTTATTTAAATAAATATACAGTTTTATATAATATTCTGTTTTAATATATAGTTTTAATAAATAAATAAATCATAAATAATATATAATATTCTGCTTTAAATAAATATACAGTTTTAAATACTAAATATTATGTTTTAAATAAATAATATATAATAAAAATCTGTTTTATAATAATTTGTTTATAAATATGTTTATAATATATGTTTTAAATGTGTTTATAATATAAATCTTAATATGTTTTATATTATAACAGATAAATATGTTTTAAATAATATATATATAAACAGCCACCACAAAATAATATATATATATATATATATATATATATATATATATATATATATATATATATATATATATATATATATATATATATATTTATCAACAGCCACCACACACATAATTTTTAAAATAGATATTTATCTAAAATTTTAAAAAATAACAAAAGTGTGTACCTTTTGATCTTCTTCCTTGTTGCTGGTTCCTCTTTAGAAAAACTTGATAACTTCTTTTATTCACAGTACATACAACAAATAAATAAACAAAATTAATTAATAAATCTAAATAATAAAATAAACTATAAATACGAAAATAATAAACATAAATAAAATAACTTACTTTTATAAATGTAAGATGAAGGAGGAAGAAGAAGATAACAAAATCTGAGAAAAAAATGGGAAAGAAGAGGAATGAAATGGGAAAGAAGAAGAATGAAATGGGAAAGAATTAGATTTAATGTGGGAGGAGAAATGGAGAAGACAGAGAGAGGTATGGGTGGGCTGCGAAATAAATTCAGAATTTAATGTTGTAGTTTGCGAGGGGATACTCCACGCAATGCTCAACGGTCACATGACGTGGCAGCATTTGCGAGGGGCTACTTCACGCAGCGTATTCACATGCCATTTGCGAGGGGCATCCCCTAGCCACGTTTTGCGTGTGGCAGACCATTGTGCAGAGTGATGCAGATGAATAATTGCTTTTGCAGTGGGATTTGACTAAAGTAGGGCATTTAGTGAGGGGCTGCCCCTCGCAAAATGGGAATGTAACATGGTGAGGGGCTACCCCCTCGCAAATTGATCAGTCTTTCCACCAAAAAATGCGCTGAACCCTAGTAAAAGTGCATTTCAAAATTCAAAAATTTTTTCCTCCTTCATTGCGAGGGGTATCCCCTAGCTAAATGTTTATATTTTTTTTCTCCCCTATTTTACAGTTTGCGAGGGGTTTAACCCCAAGCAAATGGTTTTATTTTAGTGAGGGGTTTTCCCCCTAGCCCATGCCCCTAGCTAATTCAATGATTTCTTGTAGTGCACTACCTCACACTAATATAACTCAAACACATCAAAGCACAACACAACCACAATTATCACATAATTAAAATACATAAAAATAAATAAAATAAATCAGGCGTTATAGTGGTCGACAGAAATGATTCTCAAAACAACGATCTAATTGGTTCATCATAGAGATCAGGGTATGAAGATTGTGAAAATAGCAATTGTTTCTTCGTTTGAGGTCGTGGTGGTCGGAAAAGGAGGAGATGGAGGTACGACGGTGGTAGTATGATGGAGGTACGACGGTGGTAGTATAAAATTACAATTAAAGTGGTTCTTTAGAAAGACCTGGATAAGTATGAATATCAAATTTGTTTTTTCATTAAAGGAGGAGGAGTCAGTGGTCGAAGATCAATTCAAAAATGTAGTAGCGGCGACTAGATTTTTTGTGAAAGGGAGAATACAGAGTTTTTTTTATGTACTGAAGAAGAAAAAAACGTTAATATATTTATATTTATTATTATTATTATTATATAAAGAAATAATTTTTTACAATATATATATATATATATATATATATATATATATATATATATATATATATATATATATATATATATATATATATATATATATATATATATATATATATATATATAATTTTAGTGAAAATAACAAAGAATTAATTTTATTTTTATTATCATAAATAAATAAATTATTGTTAGAGAAAAAAATTGTTTTTTTAAATTAAAAAAACTTAAAGTTAATTTTGCTTGCTTAATAGTTAAAAATCAATTTTAGATTCTCTATCTAATAGAATAAAAGTGATAGAGAAAACCAACCGTAGGTAAACATAACATTTAGTGGCAAATAATAAGGCATCACTATTAATGACTGTCACAATAGGGATTTTTTTTTTTTTTTATAGTGATGAAAAGACTTCTGCTCTAGGGAAAGCAATCCTAATGAATAGATGGGTTCACACATACATGAGAGATATCTCCGACTCTACCTTCCTAGTGTTAAGTATTAACAAGTGTGAGTAGGGTGGATAATAGTCTCACATTGGATAGACATGTGGTGACTTGAGTATTTATAAGTGATAGAACTCATACACCTATCACCTTAAGATTTTGGGTGAGTATGTGGTGTGTCTCTCACAAAGATTGCTCTAAAAAAAGTCTCACTATGTTCGATGCTCCCTAGTTGAAAGTCCAACACCTAGATCATTAGTGTGTTATAGATCCTTTGAACTCTCCACCATTAAATTTCACATAATTATTTAAATAATATCTAAATTCATATAAACCAATGTATATCTCATAAAATATCACTTCATTAATATTTATTATTGTTTTGAAATTCTAATGGATTATTTTCTACGTAAAAAGAAACTCGTCACTAATGCAATATTCATGATTTTTGGAGGTAAGTCCATATACCCACATAGACACATAATTATCTTGTAAATCTTAGTTCCATTTTTTTTCATGTATACATAATATAAACTGATCTCTTATACATGTGACATGTAATATATCATAGACCAAAGATTGTATACACAAATAGATATATAGCTTATTTCTTCTTCATTATTCATACCACTTGAAGTGTTTTGACTATTGCTTCCTCTTCATTTTGTTGTTCGGGAGAGATCTTGCTATCTGTAGAGTGTTGTTTAGATTTGTCGCACTTGGACATTGCTGGTTTATATTTACCTAAATTTGAGAGTTCTTCAACACAATTCACAATGTCTTCCACACGTGCTACGATTTCAGTAAGCAAGGAAACCATGGTGACCACTTGAATAATATCCATGATTGGAATTTCCATTTTTGCATCATCATTATTTTGTGTGATTGTATATGATTTTAATAAATCTTGTAGCTCTTGTGCAGCACTATTCATCTCTATGACCAAAATATCAAGCTTGTTAGATTTTGTCATACTCTTTATTGTTATTGCTAACTCTCTCAAAACACTTGCAGAGATGTCACCCACTTGAATAGAGGTTTTGCTCATAATCTTCCTGATGTCATTCGAGCTCTGCAAAAATTATCCGATAATTATACAAGTTCTGTTTGGTAAAAATAACTGATAGCTGATAATTAACAAGTATTTTGATATATTACCTTGTTTTCTGAATGTATGCATCCGATAAGAGCATCAATGCAAGAAGCACATCTACGCATTGTGGCTCCGATTTTAAGATATTGTTTCCATGGGTGACGGAAATTGAATCTTCCATGTGCAGGCTCCCATCTAGCTAAATTGGCCTGATATTAATCAATTGATATTATTTTAGTCACAATCAAAAAATTATTAGTTAAAGGTATATATTGTACATAAGTTAATATGTTATGTTCCATATTTATATATATACCAATGATTCTTCTGTTGCTTTAGAGTTTAGCACACATTTGTAACCCATCATCTTTTTGTTAGACTCTTCACTTGCAGTTTGGGCTTCATAGTACTGAGCCACACAACCTGAATTAAGACATACACACAATAATTATATTCAATAATTAGTATAGTTGTGCATGGGACTATATAATAAAGATTATACAGAAATAGAAGACAAACGGACAACAAGTTGTTGCACCGCTAGACTGACCTTGCAAGGAGTTTGCGAGTTTGTCGAGGTTTCCGGTGACTAAAACATAGAGTTCTAGACCAGCCCAAACGGGCCGAACCGTCGTGCTAACGATTATGCACAAAGAAGTTCCGATTATAATAGTAGAAATTCTTTGTTGCGCCATATTAAACAACTCGTCAATCCGATAACCGGATACCGAAACTAAACTGAAAGTTAAGATAAATATCATAGCACCATAATCAAAACGAGCTTTAATAGTTGGTATGAATCTTGAAAATGTGGCTGCAGAAGCTGAAAACATAGATCAAATAATGTAATCAGTTAAGATCCATTACCATACAGAATAATAATAATAATAACAACAACAATATTAATTTTGTATACAAATTGTATACCTAATAGAAAGAGTGAGACTCCAACAATTATAGGCTCCCATTGATCTCCTGCTCTACTAGCAACCCAATGTACACCAAAGGCTAGAAGTCCAGCAAGTGTAGTTCCACAAATTCTGTTGATACTTTTATATATTGTAGCACCTGCAAATTAATATATAGTATTAACATATAGATATATACATATCAAAAGGATAATTTTTACGACGGCAGCACTACATACCGGCCGTATATTCGAAGACGACGATCACGGTCATGACAGCCCACATAGCATTTCTTCCAACTCCATCATACAAAGGCTTTAAATAGTAGAAAAGTGAAACAGCTGTGAGTGCTATTCCTACTTTCAAACAATGGATGAATTTTCTTGGATCATTCACACCAATATCCCAAGCTTTCTTAAAAAATTTGCACAGCTTGAAATAAAGACTAGTTATAAATGTCCACATGTTGCAAGAAACTCCAGCTCTTTTCCATGGACCATCTTCAACTTTGATTCTCCATTCAACTTCCTTTGCCACTCCCTTGTCATTAGTCATCTTTACTTGATACTACTAAAGATTGTTGTATGTAAATTCCAGCTATTTGTTCTACTCTTTTATGTTGCTGGAAAAATTAATGGCAAGCACCCTTAACCCAATGCTATATGACTAAGTAAAGATTTACCTAAACTTAGAGGAATATGATTGTATTTATATAGAAACAAAGAGGCGTGTGGCATGTCACTAACATAAAGGATATTGAATATTAATTAGATTCAGGACAAAATACTCAATCTTTAAGTTTAGTTTAATTAAAGATAATAGAATGTGCTAACATTTATATAATTTCTATTCTTAGATTAAGATGATGTAAGTCCGCAACTAAGTTTAAGTGCTATCTTTTTAGTGTGTTCAAATTGCTTGGACATGGATAGTTCTTGTATATGTTGTATAATATAGTATTCCCTCGTGTCAATATAAGTAAGAAAAATCATAATTCATACTAATTAAGAAAATTAATCTAATTTAATTTGTTTTATTCGATTAAAAATATTGTTGTATTCTTCAAAATTTATAATCAAACTTGTTAGAGAATAATCTTATCAATCTTTAATGGATCAATTTTGAACCTTCGTGCAGGAGTAGCGATTTCAATGCAGTTATAAGTTCTCATGAGAAATTTGATAGATGTCCTCCAAACAAAAGTTTTACTAATGAGTTTTTTTTAGTTAGGCAAATCAAAATAAGCTTATGAATTTTCACACTAATGACGGCTATTACACTTGAACAAATTAGATGAAAGGTGGTGCTTGCTCTTCTATTAGGCTTGACCGAGTCATTTGTAATATGAATTGGTTAGATAACTTAAACACATTATTCAATTGCTCCAATTTGATCAAAATTCGCTCATACCATTACCTAATTCTTCTTCATTGTAACAAAGGTAGGTTTGATTTGGCTATGCCATTCAAATTTTGGAATGTTTAGACTTTGGATGATAAATGCAGACAATTGACTGCTAATAAACGGAATATGAGTGTCGTTGGTTGGTTGCTCTGTATGTTTTTTTTATCTCCAAAATTAAGATCTCTTAAATTTATTCTTAAGAAATGAAATAAAGATACATTTGAAAATATTCATTTTATGTCATTCAAACTATTGATAAAGTTAATAGGATACAAAGTTTGATTAATGATGCATGTTACAATGATGATATTGAGTTGGAAGAAAAAAATTACCAACTTCTATTAGAAAATACAATGCATATGCAGGACTAGTTTTGGAAGAACAGAGTTTGGAATAAGTGGTTTAAGAATAAATATAGGAATATAGAGTTTTTTCACAACACAGTCAAATAGAGATATGTTTTTTAGAGGAGAGTATTGAATTAGATAATCATATTATTAATTTCTACACAAATTTATTTAATTTACAAAAACAATTGCACTTATATTGATTTGGTAGAAAGAACTATTCCATGAGTTATAATTTTTGTAAATAATGAATATCTCACTAGAATACCTCAGTTAGAAAAAATTGAGAATGCATTGCAAAATATGGATGATAATTTTGCTATAGGTCCTATTGGCTTTGGGGGATATTTTTTTCAAGCATGTTGGGATAAAGTAGGGACTAACGCGATTAATTCAGTGAATCAATTATCTAAACAAAGTTGGATCGTTTCTAATATCAATTCACTAAATGTGACTTTGATACTTAAATAACGTGGAGCAAATTTTATTGAGTAGTATAGACCTCTTGCACTTGCATGTTTTCAATTAAAATTTTATCACTAAGATTATTGCACGTGGGTTGACCATCTTAACTCTTAAATATGTTTTAGAATATCAAAGAGGCTTCATTAGGGGAAAATATATTTATGAGTGCATTTGAATTACTTCAGAAGCCATTAATATGTTGGACAAGAAATTCTTTGGAGGTGGTATGAATTTGTAGATAGACAGCATAAAAGGCTTTGATACTTTAGATTGACAATATCTTATTAGATTTATTGTTCAATTTGGATTTGATTAAATGTTTTGTGAATGAATTTTTATCATTCCCCACTTATCCAAACTATGAATCATGATAAATGGAAAAGTTGCATGATTTTTTTTTCTTGCTCTAGAGGTGATGAGATCCCCTGTCTATCTATGGCTGTGAATGAGGGTTAATTGACATTTATTTCAGTTGGTAATGTTGGACAAGTGACTTCAAGCACAAGAGGGGGGATTTTGGTATTCAAAATTCATGATTAATTTTAACCTTTTCTCGTTTAAGATCGTATTAGTAATTTTATGTGAGTAATTGTAGTGGAAAATTAAACAATGAAGTTAAATCGTGAATAAGTAAAAGGATAAGGTTAGAAAGATTCCACCGGAGAGTTATAGAGGATTGACCGAGTGTTGGCCTAGTTCTCCCCTAAGAGGTCTTCTTGAGAGTTTCACTATAAACTTTGAGCTTTTGAAGGTTATGCCCATGAATCTTTAATACAAACTTATCCTTAATCAAATGATAGCTTTTACCCAGGCTACACTATCGAACTTTTTAGAGATATATGGCTTATCTCAATAACCAAAACACAAATTTTTCTGTAAAAGCTCAATAAAACAATAACAGAGATTTATGGTTGATCTCAAGAAACAAACTCACTCTCATAAAGGTATCACACCCTTAAGAATATGAAAAATTAGCATGACAACTTACAAAATTATCTTACTCACAAGTGAGACTTCACCCGGTATCACTAAGGTAATTATAAGTGAATAAAAAATATTTTCCAAAAGGAGAGAAAGAGATAAATTCCAAAGAAATACGGAAACGTTGGAAAGTGTCATGGTTTGAAGTGAGGAAGAACCTCCTTTATATAGTAGTTGGAAAAGACAAGAAAGGAAACGGGCCATGGGCTGAATTAGATTTCTAATCGATTAGCATAATGCTTTAATCGATTAGATGGCTCAAATATAATTGTTTGTAAAGTCTGAATAGGAAATTTTGGATATATAGCCATTGCAAGTTATTAATGTGCTATTTTCGCTGATTGTACAATCGATTATCATCCTTCTAATCGATTGTAAAAGTGCTCTAATAAATTGGATAGATCAAAAGTTTTCTCAAACAATTAGCTCATCTTTCTAATCAATTAAATGGCTTAAAAAATTTTGGATAGCTTTTTAGTCACTTGGTCTTGGTTTAGAAAATCATTTTCAAGGTAGAAAAAATATTTTAGAGTGTGTGTGTGTGTGTGTGTGTGTGTGTGTGTATGTGTGTGTGTGTGTGAGAGAGAGAGAGAGAGAGAGTTGTCTTAGTATTTTTTAAGCTACTACCTTAATTTGACAGTACTCAGTTCAGTTAGATAGTCTGATAGACATGACCTAGTGAGCTTTCACACCTCTCATCATAGTATTTTCAAGACTTTGCTAGATAGTATTTGTTTTTGCATAAGCACTTGATTTTGAGTTCTCTTATAAGATGTTTTGGTTATTATCAGGATATTGTCATGTGTTGTCATCATCAAAACTTGAGATGCTGATCCTTATTACCTGCAAGCACTTAAATCAATAGGTAAGACAACCATTCATAGACACACTTTATTTCTATATGACCTTTTGATATTCTGCAAAGCTACCAGAAAAAATGCTCAAGTATTTAACCATATCCTTTAAGAATATGGTCACAACTATGGTTAACACATCAATCCAACTAAATGTAAGCTATATAGTAGAAGTAGTTTCGAATCTAGACTAATGCGCATTTCAGATATGCTTGGATTCATTAAGCTTTCGATACATATTTTATCATATTCGATAAATAAATTTTTGTCAAGATAAATAATACATGATCCAATCTTTTTTATTTATATTCCATTTGTATTGTTTATAAGTAATATAACATTCATAATCCATTGATTTGATTGACAACTACTTTATTTTTTTAGGATGATAAATGACCTACTTAACTCAGTGGTTAGAGTATTGCTTTCATACGCCAATAGTCATTGGTTCAAATCCAATAATAAGTAAGGTATTGGTAGAACTTATTAGATGCCATTGATTTAGAAATCAAATAAGTTTTTCAACTCACCATTTTTTAATTGTAATTTTCTATCTTTTTCAATTTTTTGGTTGCACCAACTTGTTACAAGATCCTCTTTATAGTCTGTTGTGAATCGGATACCTTTAAACAAAGTATAAACGGTTTCTTAATGATCAAGAAACACACAAGGGTTAGGGTTAACAAAGAAAACAAGGTAAAACAACAAGGAACAACAAGGATTGGTTATTAAACTGCTATTCTTTCCTTTCTCTTTGAACAAGATTACAAGTATACAAGAATAACAAAATAACCTCTCTCCCTTGAAATTAGGATTTTATCTTCCTATTTTTCCTTATACCAAGATTGAGAAACTAGCATCCTATTTATAATAAAATAGCACATGCTAACAACCCTAGCAATATTTACTCATGCTAACAACCTTAGCAATATTTACTCATGCTAACAACCTTAGCAATATTTACTCATGCTAACAACCTTAGCAATATTTACTCATGCTAACAACCTTAGCAATATTTACTCATGCATGTTAAAACAAACTTCGACTACAACACGCATTACTTGCGAACAGACTTTGACCACACTAGAGTTCGATCCAATGTCTCACAAATCTCCACCTTGGATCTAACTCTATAACATCAAGAAACTAGCTTTCTTCATGCAGATTTATTAACTGCATACAGTGGAAAAACTTGCAACTGGGCAATGTCTTAGTGATCATATCAGCAGCATTATGATCTGTCGAAACTTTCAGCACTTGAACTTCTCCACGCTCGATTACCCCTCTGATGAAATGCAGCCTCACATCAATGTGCTTGGTTCGCTCATGATAGGCTGAATTCTTCGACAGGTGTATTGCGCTTTGACTACCACATTTAACAGTGATAACTCGACCTTGAAGTTTTAGCTCCTTTGCAAAACCTTCAAGCCACAATGCTTCCTTCACAGCTTCAGTTAGGGCAATATACTTCGCTTCAGTGGTTGATAGGGCAACGACCTTCTGA